TACTTATATCAAATGCTGAAAATTAATTAATTATGCAAATTAGGTAATTAATATGTACTGGTATTACCATAAAAACTATCAGGTCTGTGCAGTGTCATATGACATCTATGTACCAAGTTTCATTGAAATGTGATGATTAGTACTTGAGATATCAGTGGAAAAACCGAAAATTGACTAATCATTATGCAAATTAGGTAATTAGTGTCCACGGATTATTACCAAAAACTAATCAAAACCTAGCATTAGTTCAGAGCATCTATGTACCAAGTTTCATCAAAATCCAATGAGTGGTTGTTTAGATATCAGTGGAACAGTCATGGAACCACTAAAAAATAGCTAATTATCATGCAAATTAGGTAATTAATATGCACGGATTTTTACCAAAAATTAATCAAATCTGCGCATATGTTCAGAGCATCTATGTACCAAGTTTCATCAAAATTCAATGAGTGGTTCTTTAGATATCAGTGGAACAGTCATAGAACAGCTAAAAATTAGCTAATTATCATGCAAATTAGGTAATTAACGAGCATGGATTTTTACCAAAACCTAATCAAATCTGCGCATTGGCCCAGAGCATCTATGCACCAAGTTTCATCAAAAACCGATGTATGGTTCTTGAGATAGCAGTGGAACAGTCGGACACACATACACACACACACACATACACACATACACACATACACACATACACACATACACACACACATACAGACACACTAACTGCAAAGACTCCCATTTTGTGCTTCGCACATGGGAGTCAAAAACTAATGACTTTATTCGATGCAAAAGTATAAAACAATGCTTTAATTTTTGTATATAAATGATTTTTTTTAGCACTGAATAGCGAACATTGTCATTTCAAATGTCGCCATTTGCATTTACGATCGAAGAAGCATGCATAAAAACCGATCAATTTAACGTAAACAAGTCATTGAAAATGACACAGTCCCCGTTAAGTTCTCTTTGTGCTCGTCATAGTAAAGCAGAGGGGTTGTAGCGAGCGTGTCCTTGAAATTTGAGTTCCAAGTGGCGTATACAACAGATTGTTTATTTACATCAAAACACGTGTTTCGTGTCATAGTAATATGGCTAAAATAAAAACAGCCGTTATTCAGCCATCTTTGATCTGATTATGAAACACACTGATATGTATGATGTATGTGCCAAATGA